GAGGGAAACAGGGAGGTTAGAGTCTTCCACTTCCCGTACCTGACTCCCACCCTTCATTGTGTTGCTTCCATCTTCAGGTTAATCAAGGTTAATTAAGGCCTTAGCCTCGTCCAAAATATAAAATTGCATTAAAAAGTGAACCACTCCGCACTTGGCAGTGCACTTACTGAAGTGGCAATTCTTTGAACAAGTTTGCCACATGAGGCAAAATCTTCAGTAATTTGGGATGCACAGTCACACAGAGCAAGCTCCCAAGTGGGTCTTCCATTAACGGATTTTTTGTTGCCACACCGAAAAATGCTGAGGCCAATTAATATAGACGACATATGACCTGACCCTGAACCTTTAATGACCCTGAATTGCTTTCTTTGCTGGAGATTTATGACAGCTACAGCTGACCAGACACTAAAGTATAAGTGTACATGTGTCATGCCATCTCATGATTTATGATGTAATCGAATTGAAGGGATTTCCAGATTCACCAGAAGAAATGCTGTTTTTTCAGCCCAAGTACAAATTTATGTTTTCTTGCTTCCAAAATTTTCTTTTAAGGGTTCGTGGATGTTTAATGGAAATTTCAAAACTTTGCTAGAGAAGTATTTTTGACTGAATAATACCCAGTAATAAACAACAAACTATCGCCTTCTTTATTTCTGCTCCTGCTTTTTACCCTCACATGGATCCTGCTTCCCACCCCGTGTTGTTCCTGCTTTCTGCCCTCTCCTGCCCCCTTTTCTTCTGGTCTCCCACCCCCCTGTCCCCCTCCACTAAAGAGTCTGACACAAAAAGCCTTTCTCACCCCCTTGCCATGTTCAATGAGACACTGTTTTATTGCAACTTTACCACATCTCATATATTAATGTATTATGCTGAATCATTTTTATCACATAAAAGAGGAGCCATCTCTGCCAAATAGGTGACTCATTGGTGGATTTTTTGTATGAAATATGAATAACTACCGTAACAAGGAGTAGCTGCAAAATGCGGAACTTCATATAAGGGGTTTTCTTTGGCTTAAAGTTGTCAATGACTATAGTGTTGAATTGTGCAGGATGTTTTTCATCATGACCTTTTTTGGCAGTGTAGGGACAGTCCAAAAAAAATCCTCAAAAACTACAACCTTCTGGGTGTGTGTGCTACACAGTATACTGTGAACTTTTTTGACTTGCTTAAAATGTTGGGTTTGCAGTTCATATTAAAATTCAGTACTCTTGATTAGCCTCATCTGGTTTGGCAAACAGCACAATCAATTCTTTTGTCTTCAAGGCTCTCACAAAGTTGTATAAAGAGACATTGGTGGTGTTGGGAAGCATGCCAAAGAGTGCCCAGTACCGTATACACACAGAGCAGATCACTAAACAGAGACTAGATATTGTGGAACAGGTACCTTGTCATTAACATAAAGAGTAGTGTAGTGTTAAGCCAGTTGTTTCCAAGAGAAGGGACAATTTGATCTTCACAGGTTAACAGAAATTATAGCAATCAAAGGAAAATCAGCTTGACACATTCAGGCTTTCACAATAAACATAATGTAGTTAACTCAATAAGATCAATTGGTCACTAGCTGTCTGTTTCATATATGCTCTTTGTGGAAGCAACCCATTAAATTTACCTTTCTTCCAACTTGTGGCTGGGGCACTCGGTTGGTGCAAGCATATAGAATGCTGGGGTTCAATTCCTGTTGAATCCTCAATTTTGTCAGACCTGTTTTCCAGCAGTATGTTAAACTTCACTTGAAGATCAATTCCTAACTTTGTCTCTTCCACCAGTCAACTTTGATTTATTGCACATACATTATATTTGTGTTACAATTATGCCCTTTTCCCCCACCCTGCAGGTTTTTCTGCAGTATATTTCTATTTTATGGCCAACTAATTTTATCAGTGAATTTATGTTTAGGAGAGTGACATACCACAACTGGAAAACAAACTTGGAGCTGGACAAATTGAAGAAGTTATTCAACAGGTAGGTAAATTTTGTACATTATTGTAATCAATTAACAGTTAAACCCTCCACAATGGCCACCAAGAGGACAAGAAAAAGTGTTGCCAAATACTGTATCAATTGGTTTGCTTTAACTTTCGACACATTTTTGTTTCTAGGCTCTTGGATTATGATATAATGCTCATTTGATCATGTTCACATATTAAATTGTGCAATACAATCTCTAAATTATTACTAGTGCTTTCACTTTTAGTCTTTAAGATATTTTATCTTAACTTAAACTGTCAGAGGCTGCCTTCTTGAGCAAGTTCACATTTAGCATATTGCTCACTGATTAATGGACAAGACAAGACAACTTTATTTTATTTTATAATCTTGGCAGCATATTAAGTGAAACTTGTATATGGAACGTGATTTTGATTGGAACCCACTTGTGCCAGTTTGTCCCCATGATTTTCCTTTGCTTGTAGGCAGGAGATGAGCTGTCTTTGGCCAAGAAGATGCAAGATTGGCAACCTTGGGAACCACTACAAAATCCTCCACCTGCAGACCAGTGGAAGTGGCCATGACAGTCTGGATGAAAAATTTGGGAAATGACATCTATGGCAGGGAAATGACATCTATGGCATCCATGACAGGAAGCCCAAGATATGGACTTACTAGTTTTTGTACAAACGTTAGTTTTGCCATCTTGTATCGATGTATTTACTTCTTTTTTTAAAACATTTCAAACAAGGACTGGGATTTGTGCACAAGTGAATAAAGATGCAAAGAATGATGAGTGTCGAGTGACGTTATCTTGTACAACAGTAGCATTTTGTTATGCTGTTTCCCACATTCATCATGTTATGAACCTTTCAAATGAGACTAGTTACACATACAGCAACTGTCATTTCCGAGTGATCTTCCCTTGCTTTGGATCTTTCATTGGAACAAATTTTGAACATCAACTTGTCCTCTTATCAGTTTTTATTCAGCATGTTGCTGCTCTGCTTTATTTTGTCAAGTGATATTGTTTATCTTTCCTGTTTAAGGAGGTAGAGTAGAAATTTTGTGTTGTATATTATTAGGTTGCTCAAAAGATTTTTTAATCATGGTAACTGGATTGAATGATTAATAGAAATCAGAATCACCATCTGTGTCAAAGATTTGCACTTAAGTTGTTTAAGCTAATTGCTGCTTGAACGCTCAAGACAAAAAGACCAACCAAACAATTTTACTGTCTCCACAAAGGACAATTATATTTCAGATCACCAAGCTTCTGCATGACAAACTTTTATTGCAAAACAAAACTCATTATCCTCATCCACTCCATCATCAATGATACACATAAATTGTTTTGTTTGGAAAATCATAGTTTATGCTCTTATTAAAAGCCTGGGATGTTTCCTGGATTAGATTCAGTTGATGAATCCTACATTTGACCAGTCATACACAAAGAAATCAAGAGACTAGACCAATTTTTTTGTACATCGAGTGTCAAAAGAGGGCATTGATTGAGAGAGATGCAAAACTAAAACCAGTTGCAACTTAGTCACTGTCTTTTCCTGGCACTTAGGGCAGTTTACTTGTTTTAACTTGTTAGCTCCTTACAATAATTCCTTTTTCCTTATTAGGCTCCTTAAAATTACATTGGATGTGGTTTTACAATCCTCATTTAAAAACTGTTTCAAGGTGCTAAAGTTGCCATGAGAAAGAAAATTTAAAAAAGAGAAAAGAGATAACCTGATACAAACTTACATTCTATTCAGGGGAGGGGGGGTACCACTGCAATGAATCTTAGTTGCTTTTTTTTTTTGCCAAAAACAGGGATAAGTTCTAGCAGCTAGCCTCTATCCTTAGTCTTACATTAACTCAATCAATCCAACCAAATCCTTTAAATTAATGAAAGTAGAGGAACAAAGTAACTTTTGACAAGACTTGCATACATATAGGGAAATATTAAACCCTAACCTATGTCAAAACTGAACATTGATTAAGCTTGCAAGTAACTGTGCAAATAGTTTAGTAATGAACAGAATTGTAAGGTTGCACACTACTGATTTACTATTTACAGTATTCAACTCAAATCAAACCGTTCCCTTCATTTGTGTTCTCAACTCCTTCCATCATCTTTCCTTGCACTCTTTGTGGTACTGTGAGGAATGGGTTTAAACAGTTGCCTGAAGTGAGTTGTCAAAGGGCGTCCTTGGCTTCCATTATGGGATTGTGCTGAGGAAGCATCAGGTTGTGCAAGTTGACTGAGCACTCTACTGTGGGCAGTGTCATATACAGGTGTGTCAATAAGGGATCGTATTGATCGGTGGTAATGGTAATGCATCTGATTAGTGCTGGCCTTACTTTCTCTAGAGATGTAAGGCTGGGTAGAGTGCTTACAAAATGCATTTTGAGGGATAAGTTCAGTTTCCTGACTCACTGAGGAGGATCCACTTATTTCCCCTTTTTGAGGACCATACATCCCTTCTTTCAGTAAGGGTTTTGTTAGAGCAATTGCATTGCACTTTTCTGGCTTGAAAGAAGCACTGTCGTAGGGCTGCTCAGGCTCCAGCCTTTCAAAATTATCTGCATTGTTTACTTCAACTGGAGATTGATGGAGAGTTAAATCATCACTTATGTCCTTGGTTGGAATTTGGTCATCTTCTGCAACTGTCAGTTCATCTTCTTCACTGTGTGACTGTACTGGGCTACTGCACACTGTTTGAACACCATCGGAAGATGATGGACTGGGTACTAAAGTCATTTGGCTTGGTGAAACAATAGCATCTGCCTGTGTGGATTCAGAGCTGTCCAACATGTCCTGATGTGGAGACTGAATGGATTCTGTACTCTCTAACAGGTGCTGTGAAGGAGAATGAATGGTTTCTGAATTGTCCACCATCTGTTGGCCTGGAACCTGAACAGGTTCTACACAGTCCAATATGTGATGGTGTGGAGATTGAATAGATTCTGTATTTTCTAATATGTGTTGTTGTGAAGGAGCTGGAGCCTGTTCACACAAACTGGCAGCTGAATTACCATCAGATCTAACAGGTTTGTGCACCCCAGTAGACTCTTCTTCATGTAGTAAATGAACAGCATTTACCCCTCCCTGCTGTTCTGAGTTTGGAAGTGATTTTTGTACCTCTAGCTCCTCCCTAGTAAAATATGCCGGCTGATTAACAACCCCAGGTCTTCTCTGAACAACTGCTGATATCTGTGGATGTTGATGAGTTGATGTAGGATACTGGGGAATATACTGAGCTTGTTGAAATATGGACATCTCATACACTGCCTCCCTTGCATGTGGGTCAGGTGGTATGAACTGAGGATGAACCATCCCTCCAGCAGGGTGGGCAAACCCAGAGTTAGCAACTGGCACACACTCATGAGGCATTGCATAGGGTACATTTGGTGGTTGCCCCATAGGAAAATGTTGTCTGAATCCTCTGTTGGGTACAGGAACATACTGATGTGGTACCATGTTGTATGACTGCATTTGATTATTGAAGTACATTCCATGATTAGTATGCTGCACAGGAGACATGTAACAGGCTTGGTACTGCAAGGGCTGTGTTGGGTACTGCATCATGTTTCCCACGACTGTAGGAGATGTTTGTGGTACATGTGTCCACATGGGTACCTGTACCCCTATTACCGGGCCACAACCATATGCAGCTGAGGACTTGAAACAAATGTAGACAAGATTGTGGATACAAAAAACAATGTTCCCTTACTGGCAATTCTTTCAAAGGGAAACTGAATGCGACCAATAATATTAAATCTTATTACAGTTAGCATCCACAGCACCAACAGAGTGCACCACCTATTTTCAAAGCTATTATTACTTTTATTTCTCTGTGAATAAACGTGGCTTTTCAGGAAAGGGAGGAAAGAGTTTAAAATGATGCTCATAATAAGTTGAATAACTTTCTGCTTTCATAAAATTTTAAAAAACAAACACCTACACTTAAAGCCTTACCTCATCAACTACAAGACTGTAGAGAACTGGCTGTGTTAGTAATTATATTGTTCGGTTGATTCTCATCATCTAACTAAATTTTGCTGCACGGTTTATTGTGAAATGCTGGTATATACGCTGTAGTTCAATAAAAGATTTCAACACGTGCTACATGTAATTGTTACTTACAGATATGCCAGTGAGTTGAGGAGCTCCTTGGGCTGGAAACTGCATTGGTGTTGAAGGCATTGGATTTGCTGGTCCATAAGATGAAGTTAACCCAGGGGAAGTTGCCAGAAATACAACTTGTTCATTTCCCTGAAACAAAATTATAATAAACATCCAAGCATGCCTTGAATAACTTGAAAAGCTCACTGTGGTTACCTTAGTACTAACGGCCTAAGTAAAATATTTAACTAGTCATTCTTGAGTGTTTCTATCAACTATAGCAACAGAAAACAACTCAAATTAGTTCGCACCACCTGTGGAGAAGTCAAGGCGTTCGGTGGAATATGACTATACATAGTTTCTCGTTTGTCGTCTACCACTCAGTTTTCTGTATCGGCAGAAGTACTTGCAGTGAAGCCCTCGTTGCCTAGAAAATCTGCTTTAATTATTATACAAAAAGACGCGTTTCAGAACCACTTGCAAAGTTTACCACAATAGCGAATTTCTCATGTCACCCAACACACCAGTCTGTTTCACATATGTGGTGGAATATGGTGTTACACGCTGTAGGCCTCGTCTGGCTCATGCTGGTACCCAGAGCCCCTTGCAGGGCCTTGAGCGACTGACTCTAACTGGTTGTAAACCGACTAGCTAACGATACCCTGTACAGTGATAAACAACGAGGGGCCGTCCCATACGTAACAATTAACGGTCCTTATCAATAAAGGGCAAAATTACTGAGCGCTGATTGGTTGAGAGAGAGGG